AAAAAAAAAAAAATATATTGATTTTTTACAGAGAGGAAGGGAGAGGGATAGAGAGTTAGGAACATCGATGAGAGAGAAACATCGATCAGCTGCCTCCTGCACACCCCCTACGGGGGATGTGCCCGCAACCAAGGCACACGCCCTTGACTGGAATTGAACCTGGGACCCTTCAGTCCACAGGCCGATGCTCTATCCGCGCTAGTTAAATCATTAGGGCAGAATTTCCTCCTTTTTAAAGACTGGATAATATTCATTGTCCAGTTCTCTAAAATTCACCCAATTACCCCATTTATAAGAGCATAGCTTTGCCAAATGGAAGGCCAGTAGCTCTCAGATAGTCTATTTATGTTTGGTTTTACCAGTTAGGTGACTTAGCTATTTATTAATTGCAACACATTTTCCTTTCCTCAATCCAAGTTAGCATAAACTATGCAAATAAAAAACCCTTCATCCTAAAGCAGAAATATTCTAGGAGCATCATCTCTCTCCTAATCAGAGTCTGGCAAAGAATCTTCCCTTCCCTTTCACATTCATGATCTGCATTTTTAAAATTCCTCTTTAACATGCCTTATGTTTTTCTTCTCACCTTGTCATATTTGAAAGCACTATCCAAAACACTGTCAGTTTTTAAAATATGATATTTCCCCCCAAAAGCACGCTTGTAAGTGGCATTAGAAATGAAGTCTAACAGTGGTAACATTACTTTTTGCTAAAACCAAAATGCCAACCCTTCATGTATTTGCATGGTAGGATTATGGATGCAATAATTTTCTTTATATTCAAAGCTATCTGTAACTCGCTCATAGTACATGTATAAAGAATAAGTTCCCAAATTTTAAATAATTTTAATTGCTACATTCCTGAAATGAAGTTGCTTTGTCCAGGGGGGCAGAACCTGCTGAATGTGTTGGTGCATGCTGCTTTTCCTTCCTTGCTTCCTTAGATAAAACCTCACCGAGTGCCTCCACATGCCAGGCACAGTGCTGGCACCTAAACCTGAGGTTGAGTGAGACAGGGTCTGTGCGTTTAGGAGCTCAGTCAGTGAGGGAAGATCACAGAAGCAGATGATGATAATTCAATGTTGGGAATTACTTCTATTTCTGAAAAGGGATTTTAAAAATTTTAC